TTTTAAAGTCAATAAAGGGAATATTCCCTATTTCATTTGTAGCAACAGAACACTGGGAGCTCAGGTTTCCATAAAAACGTGATGATTTCTGTTCTTTGTGCTCAAAGTGAGACTTTTGGTAAAAGCAGAGAAGCCTTCCATGCCGAGGCCAGAAGAAAACTTAGAACGCGGTCGAGTTTGTTCAGGCAATCTGGCTATAAACTGTTTTGATAAGTAGCCTCAATTATTAGTCTGGCCTCGCCTTGTACTGATATCGGGACCCAATCTGCAACTTCCAGATTGTCCCTCTTGTCTTCCAGCACTGGCAGCTTGAAAATATAATTTCTCATTAAAAAAAGGAAAGATAAAATTACATTTTCCATGGGAAAAACTTCCCAGGATTAAAGATAGCAGAGTCTGCCATCAAAGAGACAAATTCTAGAGAGCCCTCAGCTATATAAAGCCCAAGAGTGACATGTGGCTTGAATTAGCAGGACGGGTACTTCATTTGGCCAGAAGAGCCTATACCCAAACTAACACTGAATTCAAGTTTTTGTGCTTCTTTCAGATTTTAGGGTCATAAAAAAGCTACTGGAGCTATACTTAGAGCCTACTGGTTAAAGGAGTGGGATCCCACATGGCTGGCTGCAGTTCGAATCCTGGTTCAGGCAGCTTGAAAAACATGCCAGACATACGTACCCCAAATCCTGACAGGATGGAGAAATGGAAGAGAAGGGATTTGAGGTGACCACATGGCACTGGGGGATGAACACCCCTTATTTTTCTTTGGCAAACACATTTGCCCTCTGACAATTAAAAATAATCAAACTCGTATTTTCTCAAGTTATCGATACTTGGTAAATGGCTGCGGTAAGGGTTAAGATAAAATAAGAACTATTAGAAAGCTTATTTACATTGGACTATTCTATTACATATGCATTTTTTTGAGAGATTTTTCCTATAGGGTGTGTGTGTTTGCCAGAAAGACAGAGAGAGACAGAGAGACAGAAAGAGAGAAATCAACTCCCCTCCCCCAGAGCAATGGCCATGCCGCAATCCCTTCTTCTCCATTCTCCTCTCAGGACCTTGGGCACACATGCACATGCGCCCAGCATGAGTTTAAGCCACCAGGTCTGGGACTCAAACCACGGTCGACTATATGGGAGTCCAGCGATGTAGCCATTACACCAACTGCTGGTCCCTATATATGGATTTTAATTACTTATAAGGGAAACTTTTTAAAAGCAATTTTGTTAGAGAGTGCGTGCACTCACCAGAGAGAGAGAGAGAGAGAGAGAGAGAGAAAGCAACTGCCATGAGGGATGGTCACACTACGATCTCTTCTCTGCTTTCTCTCCCTCATTTCAGGATTTTGGACATGCACACTCATGCAGCACCTGGCATAAGGAAAGTGAAAAATCACACCCTGAAGGGATGGCCATGCCAAAAATGCCTTCTCCCCTAGTCTCCTCTTGGGAACTTGGGCATGCACGCACATGAGCCCGACATGAGTCCCAAGCCACTGGGCGCAGGACTTGAACCACAGTTGGCTATGTGGGAGTCCAGCGATGTAATTGCTGTGCCATCTGCTGGCCCCAGAGAGGCTTCTTGAGATAAGACTGCCCTAAATCAGCCTTATGGGATGGATGGGATTTGACACATGGAAGCTGGCAGAAGGGGGTTCTAGAAGTGGACACGAATGCTAGCATAACATAATGAAACCGAAGTGTTACCAACCACATGAGAAATTATAGGCCCACACTGGCATCGTCTCTCAAAGTGTTACAAACTCACTTAAGGAAACTTTCACTATTCAAAAAAATAGCTCTCAGCATTGCCTTCAGATCTGTTTGCAAAAATATGCACACCAGATAATCACGCATGCTTTATACTCTGCTCCTTTGGACTGAGAAAAGTGTTCCTTGAATCTCTCTCTCCAAAGAGGGTCTCCATGGATTCCTGCTACTTGAAAAGATAAAGTTCACTTTTAAGGAAGGATGGTTTAAGCCCAGCTCTATAGCAAAGCAGTTAAGTGCCATGGGTAGAAAGCCAGATTCTGTGTGGCCGAATGTGGCTTGAATCCCAGCCCCAGTGGCTCGAAAAACACGCCAGGCACGTGCACGTTTGTACCTCAAATGCTGAGATGGGAAAGCAGAGGAAAAGGACTGCAGAGAGACCATGTACCACTCTCTGTCGGGGATGCTTCTCTCTCACGCACTCACTGGCAATAAAAACCAAACAACAGATTTGCCCCCCTTAATACCCTAAAAAGCTTGGGCCAAAGGCTTCATCCGCCATTGCTTTTTCTCATGGCGGGAGGTAGGGGGTGTGAGATGGGGAAGATCGCTCAGCCAGGGCAAGGATTATGGGAAGTGGGGAGACTCAAGAATGAGGACTACGGAGTTGGACCCAGAGGCATGGCACCTCAGCAATGAATGGGGTCCCAGGGGTGCCTGCAGACGAGTTCACCTCTTACCCAAGGTCTCTTCCTTTATTTTTTTAAGAGAGATTTTTGCTATAGGGCACGTGCACTTACTAGAGAGACTGAAAGCAAGAAATCACCTCCCTGGGGGGATGACCACACCACAATCCCTTCTCCATTCTCCTCTTGGGATTTTGGGCACATGCACACGTGCCTGGTGTGAGTTTCAAGCCACTGGGTCCAGGACTAGAACTGCTGTCTGTCATGTGGGAGTCCAGTACCTTAACCACTATGCCACCTGCTAGTCCCCCAAGGTCTCTTCTTACCCAGGCACCCTCAGTTGTGCTCTGGAGAGCATCTCTGTCACCCCTTAAACCACAGCCTGAGATTCCTAAGGGGCTGATGGAGAGAGTGGGCAACAGGAAATTCTTAGTTACACCACTGCCTTCAATTCATGAATTAAAAGAATTTTAAGCAAACACATCTTAAGTATACTATCCCTAGGGTGAAGGCTTAGGAATGTGTATTAATGTTTTAACTTGCTAGTCCTCAAGTTTCATGGGTTTGAGTTCTTGATTATGAGAACATTCTAGCAAATAAAATAATCTTAACCATCAAATAAGCAGTTTTAAAAGCTACTAGCATTTTGATTTATGGAGAGAAAGGTTTAAATACTCTAAAGTATTTATACATTTTTATCAACTAACACTGAAACTAGAGGTATTTACGAGATCATAGAAACAGTTCTAAATATAAAAGATTTACTTAGGGCTTCAAAGTACAGCAAGTGCTAGACGACTGTGTGTGAAATTGTAGCTATTTGGCTGTTTCTGACCCACACTGATTCTGATGAAGATAAGATGAACTCCACAAGTAATTCCCAAACTTCAGAAGGCAGAAATTGTAGCTACACACGATAATCCATCAGTTTTGACCAATGTCCGTACATAATCATTACACATTGAAGGGGTGAAAGAATGCTCCCTTCCCTTTGGACAGTTCACTCAAAATCACCAACAATAAGCAGATTAGTAACAGAAGGGCAGGCCAGCAGGTGGCATGGTGGTTGAGGCACTGGACTCCCACGTGGCCGACTACTGTCCGAGTCCCAGACCTGGCAATCTTAAAACTCACAGCGGGCGGATGTGCGTGTGTGGCTAAATTCCCGGGAGGAGGGTGGAAGAGAAGGGATTGTGTATGGCCATCCCCTGGGGGGTCGATTTTTCTTTTTCTGTCTCTTTGTCTCTCTCTGTCTCTCTAGCAAGCAAAAATCTCTCAAAAAAAGGAGAAAAGACGAATTTTATTTAATGCCCATATATCTACACAGGAGCTGCAGAAAAGACAATTTCAAAGAGGGGACAGATACTTGAGACTTTTATGCCCTCTTAACAGGAGAGTGGAAAAAGGGGGCGGGGTGCAGCCAGTTTTAGAGTAAATGATTCTGTCGGGGAGCTGGATGGGCCTGGAAGGTAGACAATAGCTTATGACAAAAATCTGTGCAGGTGTGTCGTCATTCCCCAACTTTCTTGTGTGCTGTAGGAGTTTAGTTCATGAAACCGGGACGGGCCCAGAGCAGGTGTTTTCCTCTACAGTAGCTCTAGTCTTCCAGCAGGTAATGGAAAGCAGGGTAAAGCCCCTTCCTGCCCTTGGGGAGACAGAGCATCAGAGACGATCCAGAGACCCCGTAAGCAGAAGGTCAGAGAGTGCTTCTGAGGCCGATACGTTAACTCAGCAGAGCCAATTGCCAACCTTTGGGATATCGTTTTTCTCGGCTCCGACACATGAAATTTCTTACTTGTTAATTTTATAAACTGCGTCTACCCCCAGGCCTCCAGAAACTGCTCTTGGATGGTCAGTGACAACACGTCATCATGGACAATGACAGCCTTTCCAGTCCTTATCTCCTGTACTGAAGTTGGTGTCATGCCCTGACTCATGGCTCTGAGACCTTCGATTCTTCCTTTTTATTTGCCAGAGGGCACGTGTGCTCGCCAGAGAGAGAGACAGAGGGAAAGGGAGCACGCATACCCCAGTGGGGCGTGGTCACGCCTCAATTTCCTCCCCTTTCCTCCATTTCTCCACCCTGTTGGGATTCGGGGCACACATGCACACACACCCTGTGTGTTTTCTAAGCTGCCAGGACCAGGATACAAGCCATGTGGTCTGCCATGTGGGATCTGTCTCCCCGAACCACTAGGCCATGGAGCCAGCCTAGAGACTCTGGGTTCTTCTAGTCCTCCTCCTCTCTCCCTTCTCTCTCTCCTTGTTGATTTACCCCATTCTCCAGATAATGGTGCCCTCTCAGGTTTAATCCTTGCTCCTCTTTCTCCCACCTTCTCTGCCATTTCACTGTCACCTCAAGGCAGGTGACTTCCATCATTCAAATCTGGGGCCACGCCCCAGGGAGTCCCAGGCCCATACTTCTCCTGCAGGCTGTACCTCTCCACCTGGATGGACACCTCAAAAAACCATGGCGAAACCCCACGTGAGAGGTTTTCTTCCTCCTCTGCTCACTCCTCCTCGGATTTTCCTGCTTTTAATGACGCTGCCATGTCTGAGGTGATGGGGGAAAACCATGCTTCTTTCTCTACTCTTTTAGTTATCAATCAGTACTGAAGACGTCTGTGACCAAATAGCAAGCAACACATTCTACAGTGGACACCAGCTGGGAATCCTCTAATCTAGTTCGGCTCCAACTCTGTGTTATTTATGCATCCTAATAAAAACGCCGCCTGATGTCAGGCACTGTAGTGTAGACACGTTGCCTGGAGTGCACTTTATACCTGATCCTCCAAGAAATCGTTAGTAAGTAAAGGAATGAATGAGTGAAAGGAACGACCAATTACATCGATTCTTTTGGCCCAACTTAAACATGCTAGAGCAATGCTCTTCAAACTGTAGAACGCATTAATTCACTTGGGGAATTCTTGCTAAAACGCAGGTGAACTCAGAGGCTGCGATAGGGCTTGAGATCCTGTATTTCTTTCTTTTTAAGAGAGATTTTTTGCCATAGGGCGCATGTGCTCACCAGAGAGACAGAGAGGGCCAGAGAGACCGAAAGCAAGAAATCACCCCCCAGGGGGAATGGCCATGCTACAATCCCTTCTCCTCCATTCTCCTCTTGATACCTTGGACAGGCACGCACACACGCCTGGCATGAGTTTTAACCTGCTGGGTCCAAGACTCGAACTGCGGTCGACTATGTAACTATTATGCCATCTGCTGGTCCCAAAGACACACATACTTAAAAACATGCTACAGAGACTCTATTATGTCCAGTAGGTCAGGACACCCTCTGGCTGAGCTTTAATTTAATCAAAACAAACCACTGAGCTTTCTCTTCAGTAACAGGCATTTGGCCTTTCCACTGAGATGCAGACTGAAAAGAAAAGTCCTCCTTCTTCCAGAAAAATCCTGGAAGAAGGAAGCAATCGGAGGCGTCTTGCTTCAGTAAAAACGAAGCTCCGCTTTGTGATTTTAACCACCCCCACGTATTTCCTGGTCGTGGGGACTCAAGGGAGTTTAGGATGGATGACAAGTGTACAGGACAGACATTTTCAATCAAATGATTAACATTAGGACCTAAATCGCCACTTCAACAAGACTTTCAATACACTCATCCTTGGATAGTTTTGTTTTACTTTACAAATAATTACACCCCAGTTCTAAAAGCTAATATAATTCACAACTGTGTGAAAGGACAGATATGTTAATAAATTTAACACCCAAAAGTTAATAAAATCAGCATATTTATCCTATTCATGGAATTCTTTTCATGACCTTCTTCTGGACGGACCCACACAGGGCAGAATAACTGAGGGCTGATGCGTGGAGCAGAGATAAGCGCTGTGCAGAGGAGGTCGGATCCCACGTGGCCAAGTAGGGTTTTGGTCTCAATGGCCTGAAAAATGCACCAGGCGTGGACATGCCTGCCCAGGACTCCAACAAGATGGAGAATTGAAGGAAAAAGGATTGTGGCATGACCAGGCCCCACTGAAGGGTGTGTTCTCTCTCACACAGTTGGAAAGTTTATCTACACAACTCGTATGTAAGATATCAATTATTTCAGTAGTGACAAGTGTAAAGACTGGGCCTTCGTCTTCTGGCTTCCGTGATCTGATCTGATGGAATTTGCCAACAAATCTTACAAGTCCGACCAACTGCAAGGGATGAACGTTAGCTTCTCTGCTGGGCTGGTGCCAGAAGATGAATTTACTCCACAAAGTGCATTTGCAAGGGAGGGAACAATGGAAATTAATACGGAAAAGGAAAACTGCACATCGTTTCCGGTGCGGAATCCTCCTAGGTCGCATTTGCTCTCGCATTGAAGGACAGCTCAAAGAAACAACAAGATCCCGTTTTCCACAGTAAACGGAACAAGAAATTCCAGATAAATTCCTGCACAGCTGCTTCCTCCCCCAAGAGCAGGCCGGCCCTGGCCCCGCACACGTGTGCACAGACTCTCCCTCCACCCGCCACTCTGACATGACAGCTGAGCAGGGCAGCAGTTGGGGGCACAGCTGCGGGTGGAGGGAGAGTCAAAGGGGGGAGGTAGGAGGTGGGAGCAGGCGGACTCCCCCCACCCTGCCTCAGGCTATCAGTGTGTCCCACCAGGATGTCCCGCCAGGAGGCACCGTGGGAACTCTGCATCCCAAGGAGCATGCTTCGGTCCCACAAACCCTGCAGGGTGCAATAGAAGAGCTCGACCATACTGAAAATACTGGGGGCGTTAAGTTGCCATGCGCTTTCTTGCCTTTATTATTCTCTTTGAAATTCAACTGCCAGAGGGTGCATGCACTTGCCAGAGAGAAGGAGAGAGAGAAACAGAGAGATAGCACCTCCAGTGAAGTGTGGTCATGCACAAGCTCCTTCCTCCTTTAGCATCACCATCAGGATTCTGGGCATGCATGGCTTTCAAGCCAGATTCCAACCTGCATCGGCCACAGGGGATCTGGCTTTCTAAGCACAGTGCTTGACCACAGTGCTGCAGGGCTGGCCCTTCCTCCCTCCCTCATCTCCTCCCATTCTTTCCTCCACCTCTTTCTCTCTTCCTAGACAGAGTCTCACTGTGTTGCCTACAGGCTTGAACTTCTGAGCCTCCTACCTAGGCCTCCCAGGTAGCTGGGATTACCAGTGTGCACTCCCATGCCTGGCTTTTGGCCCTAAGTTTTTTGTGGTGTAGATAGGAGTACTGTAATGGGCTACATCCATTAAGATGGAATGGGTTTTTGGGGCCAGCAGATGGCATTGTGGTTATATTGCTGGACTCCCACATGGCTGAACCCAGTTCAAGTCCTGGACCCAGTGGCTTGAAAATCATGCTGGGCACATGTGCATGCATACCCAAGAACCTAAGAGGAGAATGGAACAGAAGAGATTGCAGTGTGGCCATCTCCCCAGAGGGTGATTTCTCACTTTTCCCCTGTCTCTGTCTCTTTCTCTCTCTCTCTCTGATGAGCACATGTAGGCTATGACAAAAACCTCTATTTAATAATAATAATAAAAAAAGATGGAATGCTTTTTTTTTTTTTGAGAGACTTTGCTAAAAATAAATAAAAATGGGATGTGTCAGTATGAGTTTGAAGCCACTGGGTCTGGGACTCGAACCACAGTTGGTCATGTGAGAGTCCAGTGATGTAACCATTAGGCCATCTGCTGGTCCCTGGAACGGGTATTTTTAAAGTTCTGAGTACTATGGTAGCCATGAACAGCACAGCACAGCTTCCTGCATTCTTTCCTGGTATTTATCATTTTAATAAATGCATAGTTTTTATACAGTGTGGTTGGTGAAAAAAATAAATGAAATTATCTTACTTATTTCTTTTTCTCAAAGGCTGTTTGATCAGATCATTTTAATAGTCCTTTTCCTCTTTGCACAAATGCTGTGATTCTGGGCATAACTGCTGAGCATTCATTTTGCTTAGATGTGGACAGACCATCGTAAATGAAGAGAAATTAGTTTGATTTACGCTGTAGATTATGCTTTGGGATCAGTAACGTTTTTTTATTTCAAGTAGAAATTTAATTTTTAAAATTCAAAAGTATAATTCTTATAATGCACTTTTAAGTAGCTTTCCTGTTCAAGCCATCGAAGGGGATGAAAATAAGCAGTAAATACATTTCTATGCAGATGCCTTAAAGCTTCTCAAAAGATTTTTGTCTGTAAGATGTTATTTCCATATCAACTTTTTTTTATTGTAATCATTTCTCACTTTTACCGTCTGATGGAAATTTTATTTTCCACTCTTCCATTAAAGAGCTGAAATAGCTCCTCTGCGCTTATCCTTTGGAAGAGCATTTTCCCATGGCTTGTAAGTCGTTTGCTCCACATTAATAGCTGCCATTATCACGGTGATCCGCGATGCCCAAGGTGCGCTCTAGGGATCACTTCTATTTTATTTTTTAAATTTATTTATTTTATTTTTGGAAAGGTTTTCTTCTATAGGGTTCATGTGCTTGCTAGAAAGACAGAAACAGAAAGTCAGAAAGTGAGAAATCACCCCCTAGGGAGGATGGCTACGCCACAATCCCTTCTCCTCCATTCTCCTCTTGGGATCTTGGGTACACATGTACACGTGCCCGGTGCGAGTTTAAGCCACCGGATCTGGGACTCGAACTGCAGTTGACTACATGGGAGTCCAGTGAGGTAGTCATTGTGCGAACTACTGGTCCCTCATTTTTATTTTTCATTAAGTGTAACACTTAGGTTTTATTGATTTGTTTTTAAAAGTTGATTATTTCTCCCATAAGAAACAGAGACAGAGGAGAGAGAAAGAGACAGAGAGAGAGCACCCCAACAGAGTCCTCGCGCCATCTACCCCCGCCTCAGCCAGCCCCAGCTCATGGTCATGTGAACACGTGGACATCCCGCATTCTTGGGGAGGTCTCTGATAACGACCCAGAGCTATCCCGTGTGGGCAAGCCACTGCACCACTGGCCATCACACTCAGGTTTTATTTCAAAACATGTTTTTAAAAACGTGCAATGTGGGGACCAGCAGGTGGCATGAGGTTGAGGTGCTGGACTCCCACGTGTCCGACAGCGATTTGAGTCCCGGACACGGCATCTTCAAAATCACACTGGGCATGTGTGTGTGTGTATGCCTGAAGTCCCAGAAGGAGAAGGGTGAGAAAGAGATCGTGGTGTGGCCATTCTCCTGGGCGTGATTTCTCACTCTCCCGCTCACTGTCTCTCTGTACACACTCCCTATGGCAAAATCTTTTTAAAAAATGTGTATTGTGACCCATTAATGAGTCATGAAATCAGGTTAGTGGATCTCAGACAGAATTTTGTGGGAGATGACATAAAATAGAAAAGAAAACAACAGAACGTATTGTACATGGTAAGAGAAGGTACTGTCTTGTGGAACTTATTTTAGTATTATGAGTGGTGTGTGTGTTTGTGTCAAATGTACTTCCCTCTATGAGTTGTCTTAGAAACTCTGAAATTTACTATTGCAAAGCATATGCGATTTCCTTCTTTTCGTTTTTAGTAGAGGGTGTATAACTTGCTACAGAGAGAGACAGGGAGACAGGGAGAAAGTCATGTTCAATCCCTTCCCCATTTTTCCATCCTGTCGGGATTTGGGGCATGCGTGTGTTTGCCCTTGCCATGTTTCACACGCTGCCAGGTCTAGGACTTGAACCACATGGTCGCCATATGGAACCTAGCTGCCTTACCCACCAGGCCATGAAGCCAGCCCAGCATATGATTTCTAAGGAACATAATGAAATAAGTATTCACTGTGAAATTAAAAACAACTACAAATTACTTTTTCTATAGTTAATAATCAGTTGTTCTTTTTTAATTCACAAAAACAATTACTCAGCTTTATACATTGCAATAAAATGGTATTCAAACCATTTGAAAGTAATTTTTAATTCATTTTCCACAAGCACCATTAGAGAATTAATAGGCTTGCATTTGTTGACATTATTTTCCACAAATGGATTCTCATTCCTCTTACATTTCTCTGCTATGAAATAACATCAGGTCCAAGGACCCCCGATTTGCAATGTCCTGTTCTCTAACGATGACTGTCTCCACGGCAAGGTGTGTAGCAGCTCCCCTTTCTGACCTATGACAGTAGCACTCCGTAGGAAATAGATGGAAACTAATTCTAGTTCGTCTACATCCACACTCACCCACATCCACACAGCTTTATTAAAACATTTCAGATGTTTATGAACTTTCTTCTCTCAAGTCATCCTGCTGTGGGCAGAGCGAAAATGCTGTTTGTATCTCACACCGGGCACTTCAGTGCTATGGAGGAAACAGGCAAAGTAGGGAACAGACAGGGCTAGCCCTGGCGGTGAGAAGGGCTGGATACCACATAGCTGACCGCAGTTCGAATCTGAGCCCCGGGGGCTGAGAAACACACTCTGTGTGTGTGTGTGTGTGTGTGTGTGTGTGTGTGTAAATGCCCCACTTCTCTACAGGATGGAGAAATGGAGGAGAAGGATTGCAGCAAGGCCGTCCCCCACTGGGGGTGCTTCCTACTCTCTCCCTCTCTCTGGCAAGCGTACCTGCTTTCTAGCAATTTATTGGGTCATCGGAAAGATCATGACACACTTTTGCATAGAAAAAACATGGAAAAATATGTCATGACTTCTGATATCCCAGTATATATAAAAAAAGAAAACAAAAAGAAACATAGACATAAGTTTAGGGGTCAGTGTTAATTTTCGTACACAGTAGGGAACAAATGGAGACATCCCACTCCCCGTTGAAAAACCACAGCCTGTCTTAGCATCAGGCCTGCCCTTACACTGATGTGGACACATGAACATTCAGAACCGAAGCCTAGGCGCTAGAGTGTGGCTGTCAGGACGGTGAGAATGAGGACTGAACCTTTCTTTTTTTTAAAAAAAAAAAAAAAAAGATTTTTGCTATAGGATGTGTGTGCTCACCAGAGAGACAAAGAGAGACAGAGAGACAGAAAGTGAGAAATCACCCCTGGGGACTGTGGATGGCCACACCACAGTCCCTTCTCCTCCATTCACACTTGGGACTTTGGGCATGAGTTTTAAGCTGCTGGGTCTGGGACTTGAACCATGGTCAACTCTGTGGGAGTCCAGCGACGTAACCATTATGCCATCTGCTGGCCCCACAGTTTCTTACCACGTAGGAAACATTACTACTCGCAAACGTTTGCACTTCATTTTATCACTTAACATTAACCAGTAAATTGTTTTCCATGATCCCATCATGTATTTCTTCTTCTTTTTATTAATCTTTTAGGTTTTTGTTATAGAGTGCATGCACTCACCTGACACCGTGAGAGGGAAAATGAGAAATCACCCTCCAGGGAAGATTGCCACGCCACAATCCCTTCTCCTCCATTCTCCTCTTGGGATCTTGGGCATGGACACACATGTATCCAGGATGATTTTCAAACTCCTGGGCCCACAACTTGAACTGTGGTCAATTATGTGGGAATCCAGTGCCTTAACCACCACACCACCCGGTGGCCTGACACTGTTATTTAATTTACTTATTTTTAATAATTATTAAATTTTATTTATTATTATTAATCTAAAAAAATTGTATAGTGAAAGAATGAAAAAGCAAGCTGCCAGGTCTGGGACTCAAACTGTAGTCAGCCAAATGGGAGTCCAGAGCCTTAACCACCATGCCACTTGCTGGCCCTACACTGTTTTTTTAATGACCATAGAGTCTCACTGTGTGCTTACCAGAGACAACTTATCCATTTTCTTTCTGTATGTCATGTAAGTGGTTCCCAGATTTTCCTATGACAAATGATGTTTCCATAAACAGTTTCTGTGTGTACATTTTATCCTTTTAAAATTTTTTTTTCAAAGGGTACATGTGCTTTCCAGAGAGAGACAGAGACAGAGAGAGAAAGCAGCCCCCAATGGGACATGGTCATGCCACGACCCCTTCTCCTGCACTTCTCCATCCTGTGGGGATTTGGGGCACACACACATGTACCCAGTGTGTTTTTCAAGCCGCCGGGGCCGGGACTCTGAACCGCACAGTTGGCCATGTGGGATCCAGCTCCCTTAACCACTGAGTTATGGAGCCTACCCTGTGTTTTAGCTTATACTTTCCTTGAGGTAAATTCTAAGGCATGAGCTTAACAGAGCACAAGCTGAGAATGTCTTCATACACACTTCCGTGGCCACCTGCTTCCCAGGTGGAAGAGGGTCTGGTACTTACTGTCTTGCTCCAGGTGAGGCCTGTGGTGTGGTGCTCCTTAATGTATGCTTGAAGCTCGCTCCAAATGTTCAAGTAGGACTTCACCCAGTCCACGTGGCGTAAGTCACTTGGTCATACGAGAGAGTGGAAGAGAGCAGAGTTAGGGTCTACAATAAAGTGCAGGGGAGTTGGAGGGGCACATGCCCCAGTTTCAAGGGCTCCGGACCACCCGCAGCACTGTCCTAGCCCTGCCACTGAACACAACCGAAATGACAGAACTTCTTCACCATGGTTAGCTGAACCTGAGCATGCAGAACTCAGGCTGACTGTGTTTTCTTTTCCTTTTTAAATTTTGCTAGGGGGAGAACCAGCAGTTGGCATGGTGGTTAAAGGCACTGGACTCCCACGTGGTGGACCATGGTTCAAATCGTGGACCTGGCAGCTCTGTCCCTCTCTGGTCAAAGTAAAAGAAATAAATAAGGTTAAATAAAATAATTCTTAAAAAAAATTGCTAGTGGGCACTTGCCAGAGAAAGAGAGAATGAGAAAGCACCCTCCATGGGAGATGGTCATGCTGCCATCTCTTCTCTGTTTCTCCTTTTGGGATTTTTTTATTTTTCCCCAAAGGGCACATACACTTGCTGGACAGAGAGAGGAAAAGTGAGAAATCACCCCCTCAGTGGGGATGATCATGACACAATCCCTTCTCCTCCACTGTCTTCCCTGGATTTGGGGCATGCACACACATACACCTGGCATAATTTTTAAGCTGCTGGGTCCAGGACTCAAACCATGGTCACTCATGTGGGAGTTTAGCACCTTAACCATCATCTACTTTTGGGACTTGGGGCATGAATGCACAAGCCTCTGGCATGTTTCTCAAGCTGCTGGGTCTGGGACTTGAACCACCTAGTTGGCCATGTAGGATCCAGCTGCCTGGACCACCATGCTATCGGATGACCCTTTACTACGTATTAAAACAATTTATAGCCAATAGAGTCCAAATCTGTGTGGGCAAATTCTTGTTTCTTTTGACCATTGTAGAATTACTCTGACGTGAAGACAGTTGCACCGACACTGGCAGTAAGGAGTAGCGTGGTAAGCATGGTGCCTGTCCGTCAGTCTCAGAGATAACAGACTGGGCGGCTACAAGCTCCCCCCTGGCTTCCACTGATGCTGGAAGAAGCTGGAGTAGGAGAATGGGCATCTCGATAACTATGACTCGATGAGGGCCCACCTCTACAAAGCAAGGCTAACTGACTTGCATGACTCACCCACCAAAAAAGCCAACCAGTCAAGCCAGTGGCCAGGGCTGCACAGAGCAGTGAGAACGCCAGCTCCCCGCCCTCCTGCTCTCTCCATGGGGAAGCTTGCCCTCTCCTCCACTGACGGCCATCTGGCGGGCAGGCCGCAGTGAGAGCCAATGCCTGCCACATGGACCAGGTCTGCAGGCGTGGCCCACTCACAGGTGGGCATAGTCTTCTGCTTCTGGGGTTACCAGTCCTTGAAGCTCAAGGGTGATATAGCTTCTGGAAGGTAATGAATGAGCCTGTACAGTCTTGGGTGCCCCCTGAGCTCAGCTGTCCCCAGTGCTGCCAGAACTGCATTTCTGACACCAAGTGGCAACACTGGACTCTGCCAGCGTAGAAAAACGTGCACAACCCCGAGATTCTTGGCTGTGCTACTGCCTGAGAATCACTCACACCCGAGCCCACACATACTCAAGGGCAGACTGGAAAGAGGACTGGAGCTGATGAATGGTGATAGAGATAAAACTGGTGTCCAGAGGCCAGCAGGTGGAGCAGTGGTGGGGACATTGGACTCCCACATGGTTGATTGCTGTTCAAGTCCCGGACTCAGCAGCTTGCAGTTCACGCTGGGTGCATGTTCATGTGTGCTCAAAATCCCAAGAGGAGAATGGAGAAGGGACTGAGGCATGGCCATCATCCTGAGGGGTGATTTCTTGTTCTCTGTCTCTCCAGTGAGCACACATGCCCTATAGCAAAAATCTCTATAAAAAAAAAAAAAGTGTCCAAAGATGATAAGCAGAAAAGGCAGAAGTATGAGTTGTGCTGAGGTGTCCTTGAGTAGGTGTGTGTAGGTGCGTGTCTGCACTCCGTGAGAGAAAGGTCATTATGTGTGTACGTCAGGCCGACAGTATTCTAACGAGGCTTTGTAACCTGCACTTGGACTTCCTGAACCATTCCTGTCTGAGAGGAGCAGGCTGTCTTGCATTTCTGGTGCCTTTCCCAGCCGTGTCGCATAGTCCTGTAGTCTCCAGGACAACAACAGAGAGACAGTGAGAAAGTGAGAAATCAGGGGAACCAGCAGTTAGCGTAATGGCTATGTCGCTGGACTCCCACGTAGTCGACCATGGTTCGCGTCCCGGACCCGGTGGCTTAAAACTCACACCGGGCGCGTGTGCGTGCGTGCCCAAGATCCCAAGAGGAGAATGGAGGAGAAGGGATTGCGGTGTGACCATCCCCCGGGGGGGGTGATTTCTCGCTTTCTGTCTCTCTGTCTCTGTCTGTCTGGTGAGCACCCGCGCCCTATAGCGGGGTTGGGGGGGGACCTCTCAAAAAAAAAAAAAAGAAAGTGGGAAATCACCTTCCCCCTGGTTTGGGGAGATGGCCACACCACAATCCCTTCTCTCCTCAGGTTTTCGCCATGCATGCACATGTACCTGGTGTGAGTCTCAAGTTTCTAGGTCCTGGACTCAAAACATGGAGTTGGCCATGTGGAACCCAGGTACCTCAACACCACCTGCTGGCCCTCATCTCTACTTTCAACAGCCCTCTCTGTAAGGCTACTCTTCTTAGAGAGGTCTCTCTGTCCACCCCAACCCCCACCCGTATTTCTTAACTCAGTCTCTGGTTTGCTTCTCACTGGCCTGGCTTATCATCTCATTTCTGTTCCTGATCCACAGTTCATTCCTGATTCCTCCTTTCTTCTATCTGCTCCCGCATCAACTCCACTTCGGTCAGCATAATGAGTTTTGTGATCACACAGCCTGGTCCATCCCTGAGCTCTCTCACGAATGTGGGAATACAGAATGCAGTGACAACATGCATTGAAGTGGGGTAGCTTATTCGTTACAAGAGAACGGAGGCGGGCTTCCCAAACAAGACCTTATTGGATAATTGATTCCGCTTTCCACTTGGCTTTACTTGCAAAGGTGGTTTTTTCCCTTTAAAGTTTAGAATATGTTCATGAAGAGCCTTGGAGAGGAATCAGTAGGGACTATACCGAGTTTTAGGGACAAACGTCTAACAAGTGATGAAGGGCAAATGTGGTTGGAGAAGAAGGTACATGGTACATACCTGTGTTTGTAGTCCTTTAAGACCCTGTTAGTGTAAAAGGTGGCGGCATCGTTCATCTCCTTGACATAAGGACCGGGTTTGGGGGACTGAGAAAACAGGACCATCACGCAAGCGTAGAAAGAAGAAAAAAACAAATAGAATAAGAAAGAAAATGCCTTAAAGAAGAAGAAAAGCAATGGATGGATGGACTTGACAGGTGAAGGCAAATTTTGCTCTGTAAAGGCTGGTAAAACATCTCAGGACAGAGAACATGGAACTTTAAATGGGGTAAGTAGAAGCTGATGCAGTCACCCTAGAAGAAGCTGCCCTCAGTGCATCTGATCATGGCCAAGGAGCGTGAAGGTGGGATGGGAGGGCATTCCACCCAGACTCACCACGGCTATCCATCCAAGGGCAGGGATGCTTTCGCTGACAGCTGAAAGATGGTTAAACATGCTGCTCCCTCGGTTCCTCTCTCTGAAAGTTTGGATTTCCTGAATCTTTTCTGATATAGGTTTCAGAAGTGCAGCCACATCATTCTGTAAGCAAACGAGAGCCATTAGTACGGACAAAACAGAAACTGAGCACCTCCACATGTTGGCCTTAGCAGGAGGACTCAGGACTGCCATGTGTCCAAGGGTCTCAGAGAAACATCTGATCATCTTTCAGAACAGAAGACATTTTTTCCCTTGTTCTGATAGTACTGCACTTTCACTCTCTGAAGCATGAAAATTGCAGATATTTTTAACCTTATTAATGCTGTCTCTTGAGGTGTGGAAAAAACCCAGCAGTATGAGACAGCCCCTATTTTGGAGATTCCTACAAGGAACACGGTGAGACTGAATGTAGATCAGTTATTACAGGGAACTTCAAAGAGTCCACAGAAAAATAGAATTAAAATGTAAGTTTATTCCAGGACAAAAAGAAATGAAAATCTATGCACGGTTTTTTCATAATGCTTATTCCCTGTGTATTTTCACATAGGAAGCACACATCACACAGCACAATAACACAAGTGTAATGCTGGGGGAGTCTGAGATCAGTAAAATGATGTCTTCATACCCCGTGGGGAAATGATGTGGAAGAGAATCCTTGGTCTTACTATAATTCCCATAATCCATACGAAAAGTAGAAACTTTCATCGAGGCCTTTTTATTTTTGAGTTGCCAGGAGTACATGTGTTCACTCACACACACACACGCACACACATCATAACAAACAATGAGAATGAGGAGAAAGCATCCCAGTGGGGTGTGGTCATACCACAGTCCCTCCTCCCTTTCTCCTCTCTGTTAGAATCCGAGGTACACATGCTCCTGTGCCTGTTGTGTTTCTCAAGCCACTGGGACTGAGTCACATTTGTCAGCCATGTGACATACAGCTCCTTCATCCACTAAGCCACGGAACCAACCCTCTGAGAAGTCACCCCCCCAGGGGGGATGGCCATGCCGCAGTTCCTTCTCTTCCATTCTCCTCTCGGGATCTTGGGCGTGCGCACACACATGCCTGGCATGAGTTTCAAGCTACAAGGTCTGGGAATCAAACCACCGTTTACTACATGGGAGTCCAGCAACGTAACCATTATGTCATCTGCTGGTCCCTCTGAGGCTCTTTTTGATAAAATAAGATGGCTTATAGCACTTATAGTGACCTTACTCGGGTTTTTCCATATCATTTCTAGTCACCTTGGCCTATAACTGCTGGGCATGTTCAGTTCTGACCAATTCAACAACTGACTTTGGGCTCAGCTGCTAAGACATTGTGCTCTGCAGGCTGAGACCACATGGGAGGTCCGGGTTCAGTTCCCACTCCAACCTAAAGACCAAGCGGCTCGGGAAACTGAGGCAGGAGGATCCCAGTAGTGAAACTCTGTCTTAAAAGAAAGTGACTTTCAAAACGACGCGATCTGAGTTTTAAAGTGTCACAGTGATAGACCCTCCATACCACCACAGCTGCCACAGACATCTCCTCATCCTCGCTGAAGCAGTCATTGCTCTCCTTAGGTGTTGAGAACAGATACGAGGTTGTTTGACTTCTTTTATTTTAAATTCCAAAGTAGTGCCTGGAAGGTACTCTCTCTTCAGCTTTGTAACAACAGTAGAAGGGCTTTAAGCAGTATTTTACTAAGTCTTGTTTGCAGGATGTAAAATGGGAAACCTCCTTATGGTACTTCAATTTCATTAGCCAAGACAACAGAGCAAGGATTCTCATCCTTGGCTACACACTGGAACCCCCTTGGGGATTCCAATGTGGAAGAGGGGAGGCTTTACAAACCACCGTGGCCTGGCTCCCACCCCTAGAGATTCATTTTTATTATTTAAAAAAATTATTTTATTTAACTTTATTTATTTGTTTGTTTAAATTTGACGAGACAGACAGAGAGAGAGAGAGAGAGAGAGAGCAAGCAAGCCGCCAGGTCTGGGACTCGAACCATGCTCAACCACGTGGGAGTCCAGCACCCTTAACCACCATGCCACCTACTGGCCCAACCCCTGAAGATTATGATTTAATTATTTAATTGCTCTTAGGGTGGTATGGGTTGGGGTGGCATGGGTAAGGATGGGGAGACTGGAAAATCTATCCAGGTAACTTTTTTAAAAGAATCATTTAATTTTTAAAACATATTATTTTAAAATTTGCTACAGGGCATGTGTGCTCACCAGAGAGACAGAGAGAAAGAAAGAGAGAGAAAGCAAGCCATCAGGTGTGGGACTTGAATCACGGTTGGCCATGTGGGAATTCAGGGTCCCAACCACAGCACCTGCTGGCCCTGTTCTCAGGTCACTTTGAAAAGATCCTGGCTGGCTCAGGATAATGGTGGATCATGGCATGGAGATCCCATTGGGGGTACCTCTCTCTCTCTCTCTCTCTCTCTCATTCTCTCTGGTGGGTGCACACAGCCTCTGGCAACTGGAAAAATAATTTCCAAATTCAACACCTGATCAAAGGTATAGCATTGGTTTCCCCAAAAGGCAGCTAATTTTTAATTATGCTAGAATGACTATAAAAAATTCTAATTTTTTGTAACAGTTTTCTAAGCCATAACATTCTTGGTGCAGTGAGGCTTTTGAGAAAGACCAGAATCTCTGAATTGTGGGTGATACCTGGCATATTGCCGCAAGGAGAAAAAGAACCAGAAACCGTGTATTTACAACATTAGGGAGATTTATGAAGGCTATCTTTGTTTATCTCTCACTTCCCAAGAACAAACTGAAGTCTGAGGAGACAGAGGATTCTGGAAGAGATTTTTATACTGGTTATCTGATGGAAAGCATCATAAAGCCCGAGAAATCTTCCTTTTGTCTTAGTCCGGCAATTGCACAAAGAATTGTCATCATTTTCTAAAATTAAAAAAAAAACTAGCATCAAGAGAATTAAGGACAGCGCTTATTTGCACAACTCTGATAAACAGTACGGCTTTTATTCGCTGCCAGTAGTCTTCTCTTGTACTTGAGGCTTATCTTCTCCAGTTCGTCCTGAACGTTCACAGCTGGATTTAAAACCAGGAGAGAACACGAGCGTGCTCGTGTGATTTCCACCCAGGCTTTTAGTGTGGGACGTCAGACGAGGAGCTGGGGGAAGGCGATTAGTTAGACGGATCTCCATCTTCTTAAGCATTCCGCATGCCCCAGGGATATCCGATCAATACAAGGTGGCCTGCACCGATGGCAATGATAATCACAAGGGCTTTCCACTGAAGAGCACGGAACAGGTGTCCTGGGTTCTTTGTCTTTGCCATGGAGTACATAATGATAGCTTCCCAGACATGCCAAGAAGAGCTTTGGAAGACCAACTTGACGTAGGTGTCACTCAGGCTATTATTATTATTTTAATTTCTAGAGGGAACGTGTGCAGAGGAGAGAGACAGAAAGTGAGAACCCACTCCCCATGAGGGATGGCTGTGCAGCAGTCCCTTCTCTTCTAGTCTCCTCTCAGGATTCAGGGCATGGATGTGTATGTGCCCTGTGTGTTTCTCAAGCTGAGGTCCTGCACGTAAACTATGTAGCCGGCATGTGGAATCGGGTTGCCTTAAATACCATGCCATCAGCTGGCCTATTGGTTCTTTGTTTTTGTTTTAAATGAATATTTTTGCCAAAAGGCACCTGTGCTCACCAGAGGGACTGAGAAAGAAAGTGGAAAATCACTCCCCTGAGGGATGGCTATATAGCAATTCCTTCTCCTTCATTCTCCTTTCAGAATTTTGGGCATGCACGCACATGCACCCACCATGATTTTCAAGCTGCAGGGTCCGGGACTCGAATCATGGAGTTGGCCATGTGGGATCCAACTGCCTTAACCTCATGCCACCTACTGGCCTTTCATTTAGGTTCCTTTTATCCTTTTTATTTTATTTTTTGAGAGAAATTTTTGCTATAGGGCCTGTGCTCATAGGAGAGACAGAAAGCAAGAAATCC